AGTTCTCCACTTCTGCCGACGCAGCAGCAGATTTTATTCATATTGTGACGAGATGTCAGTCTGACGTCGCCTCGTCAACCGATTACGAGAAGACACGTTATAGTTTTATATACAATACATAGAGGAAGACAAAAAAACTCTCACAACATGTTGCACCATCTACAGACAATGAAAACAAACAATATTGGAAGTCGAAGGAGTATCATACTTGATTGTCGTCGATGAGTACACTGGCTGAAGTTGAAACCGACGCACTCCACAGCGCCTACATATAATCGACGCGCTACGCTCAGTATTCACAACTATTCGCTTGCCGAAAATTCTATTCTCTGACAACACTTCGAACTTTGTTTCAAGCGAAATGGATGAATTTGTAACAAAGAACCGCATCCAACACACCATGACATCCAGCAACTAAAAGGCAAGCAGAACAAATGGTGGGTGAAACTAAGAGAGCCCTCATGAAACTCACGGAAGGGGTCCAGTGTCGGATTGCATAGTTTCACTCTCAATAAAAGCGCATTTAACCAGAAAATGTGTCACACAAAAAACGGACAAGGTCAGCACACAACCAATAAGTTTCGCTTTTCCACTGCTTAACCAGCACCTATACACCTTTCCAAGAAACGCTCCTAGGCCGCCGCCATGTTGCTGATGCGGCTGGTGCGACTCGTGTCCCTTATCAGCTAGAAATCTTTTGCCACTCTCTTGGACTGTGAAAACCCGCCCAGCACGATTCTCTACCTATGTTTTGCGGTTTTGCATTCAACGTTTTCTGGCCCTCCTTTAAAGTTTCCACTTAATTTTTTTGATGCATGCTGCATACCCTTTCTGTGTTATCTTCCACTGTGTAAAATAGGGCTGGTAAGTGCCTGCCATTCAAGCGTTTCTGCTCGACATTTATGGGAAACGAGGGAGGGGAGGTATGTTGAACGGCCCTCGACGCAATTTTGCGAACGATAACAACTGTTCTCCCCCCTCCCAAACATAATCCCCGTAGAGTGCTTCGTAGTCATAGCCAAAAATAATTGTTCGGGATAGAGTCAGTCGCACCCATTCCTTTGCCTTGGTGCTGGTGTAAAAAAAAGAAAGCTCTCCCCAAAACGTGCCCCAAAATGAAGTCACCTTGGTTTTCGTCCGGTCTTTAAGATGCGACTGTCGTCGACTGTGATTGTTATTTGAGATATTTCTCAAATAAATTCTTTGCAGATAACTCTGCATTGTGTGGTATGTACCATATATTGTTTGAATGTTAGCACTTGCTAAATTTTATGTCCGTGTCCTGTCCATTGGTAAACGTCATTTGTGAGCGTGAAAAATGCATGCCTTTGGCTATCTTCTGTTGTAAATTATTTTTGAAACCTAAGCACTTTGTCGTTTGACATGCAGCTAACCGGGCAGCGCCGTAAACTTATCGTTAAAAAAAAGACAACGACTAACATTCCAATCGCATTCGTTCTGTTAGCACATGCCAAACAAAAATAGTTTACAGTTTTTTTTGCTTTTTTGTTTTTTCAAATGTGGTACAATGCTTTCTCAATGTCCTCGGGAAAATGCATACACCATGAAACAAAGTACAACGGGAAAAGACAAGAATTTAGCGGCCAGCAGTGTTTGAAACTGCACCTACGCAGGCTGCGCCAATCAAAATCACAGTCCATTCGGTTATGGTTAGCAGGGACGCTGGTGAGTGTCTAGCCTCACCATTAGTAAAATAGCGCAAAACAACAAGGAAGAAAGGGCGAGATAGACAGGAAGAGCGCTAACTGACAACTGACATTTAATACAGTCTATAAAGGAGGAGAAGAAAGAAGCAAGAAGTTACTGATGCTGTTGCATAAAAGGAAGAAACATACACCCTCAAAATTGTTATACGTAAAAATTTAAAATAAAATGTATGAAAAAGGTGAGTTGCTGATGACATCTGTGAGTGAAAAAAAAACTTATTTCTTGCGTTTTTTTTTCACTCACAGATGTCATCAGCAACTCACCTTTTTCATACATTTTATTTTAAATTTTTACGTATAACAATTTGGAGGGTGTATGTTTCTTTCTTTTATGCAACAGCATCAGTAACTTCTTGCTTCTTTCTTCTCCTCCTTTATAGACTGTATTAAATGTCAGTTGTCAGTTAGCGCTCTTCCTGTCTATCTCGCCCTTTCTTCCTTGTTGTTTTGCGCTATTTTACTAATGATGAACGACCAACTAGCCCGCCAGCTCACCTTATTGCAGTCTAGCCTCACACCCAGTCACGACTCGAAAACAGTTTGTTGCCCCTGGGGTCGAGTGTTCTTTGGAAAGGTGTATCCACGACTCCAGCGAACTGTAGGGGGCGCGCTGGTCAGGCAAATGACGGACGAAAGGAGGTTGTTTTCGTCGTTCAGCACGCTGACCCCCATAAGTTTCATACACTGCAGCGTAAAATCGGTGTTACATATGAATGCAAAGCGATTTTCCGACGGTAGAAACCTTCTTCTTGTCAATGCGTAGGAATGACATGGCGGAAGCACAAAAATAATTACTGGAAACAATTTTTGTTTGTATGCTGCCTACGAGAACCAAGCAGCCATAGCAGGCGACAGAGTCAAAACGACCTCTTGAGTGTCATGTTTGCCGAAGAAGTGGGAATGAGAGCTGACGGGGAAAAGAAGAGGAAGAAGAAGAGAATAAAATAAAGATGGATGTCACGCAGAGTGACTAGCTACAGTACATGCCTGTCTGTTTTCTCTACAATACGACAAATTGGCGCAGTCGACAATGAAGCTGGAAATGCCACTGCCTTTTCTACCGGTTCCAGGTAAACCGACAATTCCATGGGTGGAATGGTACCCACTCTTCGAGACCTTCATGGTGGCAAGCAGAGCGACTACTTATCCAGACGACAGAAAAAAGGCAATATTACTCAACTGCCTTGGAGTGGAGGGTCAGCGAGTATACCGTTCTCTACCTGCTACCACACAAGACCCTCAACCATCGACTTCTGCGGACAGTGCTTCCACTACCCAGGTATTCGACGACACAGTATGTGCGCTGAGCAAATCCTTCACGCCAGCCGTCAACAAGACCGTCGAACGCTATCGTTACCGTCAAAGGGCACAAGTACCGGGAGAAACGGTCGAAGAGTATGTCGCGACATTACGGAGCCTGGCCAAGACATGCAAGTTTGGTGGGCTTGCGGAAGATTTAATATGTGACCAGCTAGTAAAGAAAAGCAGCAGCAAGGAAGTTCGAGAGAGGCTTTTGCTCGAGCCAGAATTAACACTGGACACAGCACTCGTCATTGCTAGACAAGTGGAACAAGCTCTGCGCGAGTCTAAGCTACTCAACGAAGACAAGAAAGTCGCAAGCACTTCTGAGGTTGCAGCTCTTACAAGAACTACTGCAAATTCTCCAAAACAAGGTCAGAAGTGCTACAGATGCAGATATTCGGCTCACCTAGCTGACAATACTTCATGTCCAGCGAGAACTAAGACATGCAAGAAATGTAGTACACGCAGTCATTTTGCATCAGTATGCAGGAAATCAACTACAGCGAAGACCGCGTCTTAATTCCATCAAGGCCATAGGGCTAATGAACATCAAGGCGACCAGAATGGGGTTGCAGACGCTTGTTCAAGGCTTCCAGTCACAACCATCATGAGGAGTCAAGTGATCACGAAGACGCTGAAATTATTTGTGCAGTTCGAGCACACCTCAGAAGCATTTCCCTGGATGAGCTCCAGAAAGAGACTAGGGAAGATCCAACACTGACCAAGGTAGTAGAGAGCATAAATTCAGCAAAGACCCACGTTTTGCATGCGGAAGCTACGTTGATCCCTTACCACAAGATTCAAGAAGAACTTTGTGTCATACATAGGTACTTCTTCGTAACCAGAAGATTGTACCACAGACTTTGCGACCTTGGATCATGGACATAGCACATGAATCCCATCCTGGGATTGTCAGAACAAAACATAGTCTGCAAGAGCACTACTGGTGGCTTCAAATGGATGTAGAGGTCAATGATTACATCACCGGCTGCAGTGTCTGACAGCAACATGACAAAACAGCAAAAACAGCACCGGTTCCCATGCGATCAGTTCACTACCCCGAGGGTGCGTGGAAGCAGATCGGAATCGATTTCGTCAAACCGTTCACGAGTTTTTCTGGGAACTGCAGATACGCCATCACCGCCATAGATTACTACAGCAAGTGGCCAGAGGTTGGGTTCTGCTCACACCCAAAAACTGATGCAGTAATAAGCTTCCTGTAAGGAATCTTCAGCAGGGAAGGTTACCCGGAAGTTCTGGTATTGGACCAGGGTTTACAATTCATGTCTTTAGAATTTAAGACATTCCTTCCAGACAGAGGCATCACTCACGCAACACAACATCGTCCATCTATCCACAGGCAAATGGACAGGTGGAGCGTTTTAACAGAGTGCTCAAGGATTACATCCAAAGCATTTTGTTGGAGAAGGGCGACATATAGGTTGACCTGGTGCACTTCCTGGGGATCTACCACTCCACACCTCAAGCAACAACTAATCTGTCCCCGTCAGTGCTGTTACACGGACGACCAATGCGCACGAGACTCGACATCATGGGACTACCCCATCCAGGCATTACACAAAATGCTAGGGAGGCGATAAAGGACCTTCGTTGCAGGGTGGAAAGATACCAAAGCAACTTCAAAAAATATGCTGACAAGCACAGGGCGGTCAAGACTGAATTTCAGGGGAGGAGACTGCATGCGCGTCCGACTGCCAGGACATACAACAAAGGGCACTCCATCGTTTAGTGCCCCAGTCAGAATAGAAAAAGCACTCAGACCCGGAATGTTTCTAATAGAAGACGGACACTGTTGGAACTCCTCAAAGTTAACTAGAACGGTTGCTCCAACAGATCTCGGCATAGCAGTAGAGGTACCAACTACCGAATCCTTCATCAGGTCCAGACCCAAGAGGAATGCACGGCCTCCTGATTGTTACTCTCCATAACAGTCTTTTTACTAGTGGGGGAGTATGTCATGTTGGCCGAAGAAGTGGGAACGGGAGCTGACGGGGAAAGGAAAAGGAAGAAGAGAATAGAATAAAGATGGGCGTCACGCACAGTGACTAGCTACAGTACATGCCTGTCTGTTTTCTCTACAATACGGCATTGAGCTTCTCGGCGTTGCCGCTATGTGGCGTCGATTTCGCTGGAGTTGCCAATACAGCTGGGTCTGGTCAAGAAGATAAACTGGCCAGCAGCTCTAGCATGTGAGTTAGAGCAACACTTCCCATGCATGTTAAGCCTGGGCTTAATCACGTTCAACCTTGTTCGGAAGTGGTATAACAAGGAACGTGTTCTCGGTACGTTCCGTAATTACGCATTTAGCAGCGAGCTGCTTCGAGCTGCAAGCAATTAGGGCGCCCGATCGCATGCCTTCTCGTACAGACAGAAACTGTACCCCCAGCTGTCCGTCCTTGAAACCAACTACTGGTGTCAGTTTCATTTTCTCCATGAGAACAAGGTGTTCAACATGAGACCTAGTGCTTGATGGCTTAAATACAGCGAGTGCCTGTACAATGCCAAATGAACCATCACTCAGTTGAGCAACGCAGTTGGCTCTTTTTGGCATTGGGTAGGTCTCGGAGTGCCACAGGATGCCATTGCACTGAAACCTGTGATAATAGACAATGCTTAATGGTAGCGCATTCAGGGCCCTCTCGAGTGCCACCTCGAACCGGATGTCTTGAGCACCTGAGCTCTGCCTAGTGTAAACAACTACATCGCCCTGAATCTGGGTGCCTGTGCGCCCGATGGTCTTCCGTCCCATCATTTCTTCAAAAAACTCTGCTGCCTGCGGGAGGTTCATGCTGCTTACCCACGGGGCCAGCTCCTGCCATCGGATGAACGTCCTTGCGATTTGCTGGCCCACGCACTGTGTGCCTGCAAAGTAGCTCAAAAGCACTGCATTCCTTCCTTCAAATGGAAAGCAAGAAGTAGCCCACAGGGGTCCCCATGCTATCACAGCATCTGACAGATGGAGAAGTTGATGCACATTGTACGACATATGCTGAATGCCGTACAATCTCTCCATCTGCAGCACAAACTTTGAAAGCAGTGCTCGAGCTTCACAGATGTCCGTGAATGACACTTGCTGTTTTAGCAGCAAGTATGTGCCATAGGCCAACAGTGCGAAGTGCTGGAAGTACTGCGGCGGCAGCACCGGCTTCAGAACCACATAACCATAAAACAAAAGGAGTGCCCTAAATTCTGAAGCCTTCCAGAAGGCACGTTCCTCAAACCTCCTGGGTGTGCGCGTGATTTCTGTGGGTGGTAGGATGCCCAGGAGAATACCGTTCATGACCCCTAGCTTGGTCCCTACATACCAAGGCTGGTCGTGATTCTCTGTGTCCAGCCACAGCTTTAGGAGCTGCCGCATCACACCCAGACAAACACAGTGCTGATAGTCAGGGATGAACCCATCAATAGGGTTGAACCGAGGAAGTTTCATGATTAGTGAGGGACCCTTGACACCGTTGACTGGTGCTCCAGGAGTTCCCTCCTCTGCCTCAAGTGTGTGGGCTTCTTCCGAACGCTGCTCAGGTGCAGGGTCCAGGTACGGATAATGAGAGCCTCCTGGGTGGTAGCACCACCCACATCCGAAGTACCCATTGAACTGCTTGCAGTTCTTCACTGCCGATCTTGCAACGGCGTCTACAGAGCAGACGACAGCGAATACACGTGTGTTGACTGTTTTTCCGTCTCTAATGCAGGGAAACCCTAATGCTAGCTCCTGAAGCTCTCTTGTAAATGGCTCTAGCAGAGCACTCATATTTGGTTTGGTGTGTCCAAACCAAATGGCTGGCATCAGCATGTTTGCTTTCCGCATGCTTGGATCAAGTTGGATAATTTGGCATTGTATCGGCCAGATGTCATATGTGGACTTCTCGAACACCCTTATGCCGTCTGTGTTCCAGAGAAGCGATAAGTCGTTCTCTGAGAAGTCCTCACACAGCCTCACATGCTCTAGACCATGAGCTATGTCTGACAGCAAAGGCCCAACGCTTGTTGCTGGGACCCACTTGAGATTTGGCTGACTGAGAATTCGCTGGAGCTGTTCTTTCAGTGGTATTACCAAAAAGAACGGACAAGAATCTACATCAATTTCTGCCCCACAATTCTCACAGTGGGAGATATCAAGTGAAGCTCCTAAATAATCTTTACAGACTAAACAGTAATAATGTTTGTCCGCTTCAGCTGTATGGGCACCCAAAGCCTTCATCAAGAGGTACTTTGATTGTGGTACCCTTCCAGGCGCAATGATGTTCAACATCCTCAGAAGGTCCGCTGTTGATTTATCGCCATCTTTGTGACGTAGAGTATATGACATCACAAGGGCAGCTAATTCAGATGTGTCATCAGACTCGTCTTGGCTAGCTGCAGATCCCTGTAAACAAGAAAACAAATCCTTTAATCGCGCAGCACAGCATTGTCATCACAGTGCACTGAGCGTATTTACTTGAGTAATAGCCACACTTTTTACAAACAAAGCCTTCACATCTTTACCCTAGAGACAAGCTAGGATAACCAATCACTGTGAAAAACAGAAGGAGCCTAGCGAATGTCACGGGAGAGATTGTCTCCATCTGATGATATTTGTGCTGAGACAGCATGCATGATTTTTTACAAATCCAACATTCAGATGCAAATCACATTTTTGCGAAAAATTGCTTTCTCGACTTTGTTATTCGCTGTTTGTTCTGCAAAGCGTGATGATTGGCTGAATGGGGCCCTGCAAGAAAGATGCACGAGCTTCTTTCATAAGCAGTGTTTATTTTACACAAGTGAATATGATAATGATATTCTTTATTGCTAGAACCACCAGGAGCAACTGAAGTGTGCGACCACCACCAATAATGCGGTTCCTTAAAGCATGTTTATTTGCATGGACACAATCGCAGACACAGTGCAGTTTCTCACGTCTGCTGTGGACGCTCGCAACTGGGTTTGCAAATGGATGTAAGGCTCACCTGTGCGTCTCCGCTGGAGGTGCCGCCGTCGCTCGGTGACACGCGCAGTGCGCTTGGCTGCTGCAAGCCCTGCAAGGAATTCGGAAGTTTTGTAGAATAACCAAACAATACAAGGGTGACAAGACTAAAACCACCCCTATTAATGTTTGGGGTTCCTTAAAGAATATTGATACGTATGAACACATTCGCAGACACAGTGCACTTTTTCACGTTGTCTGCTATGGTCGCTCGCAACTGGGTTTGCAAATGGATGTAAGGCTCACCTGTGCGTCCCCGCTGGAGGTGCCGCCGTCGCTCGGTGACACGCGCAGTGCGCTTGGCTGCTGCAAGCCCTGCAAGGAATTCAGAAGTTTTGTAGAATAACCAAACAATACAAGAGTGACAAGACTGTAATACCACCCCTATTAATGTTTGGGGTTCCTTAGAAAATATTTATTCGTATGAACACATTCGCAGACACAATGCAGTCTCTCACATTGTCTGCTACGGTCGCTCGCAACTGGGTTTGCAAATGGATGTAAGGCTCACCTGTGCGTCCCCGCTGGAGGTGCCGCCGTCGCTGGGTGACACGCGCAGTGCGCTTGGCTGCTGCAAGCCCTGTAAGGAATTCGGAAGTTTTGTAGAATAACCAAACAATACAAGAGTGACAAGACTGTAAAACCACCCCTAATAATATTTGGGGTTCTTTAGAGAATATTGATTCGTATGAACACATTCGCAGACACAGTGCAGTTTCTCACATTGTCTGCTACGGTCGCTCGCAACTGGGTTTGCAAATGGATGTAAGGCTCACCTGTGCGTCTCCACAGGAGGTGCCGCCGTCGCTGGGTGACACACGCAGTGCGCTTGGCTGCTGCAAGCCCTGCAAGGAATTCGGAAGTTTTGTAGAATAACCAAACAATACAAGAGTGACAAGACTGTAATACCACCCCTATTAATGTTTGGGGTTCCTTAGAGAATATTTATTCGTATGAATTCACATTCACAGACACTTCTCACGTTGTCTGCTACGGTCACTCGAAACTGGGTTTTGCAAATGGATGTAAGGCTCACCTGTGCGTCTCCGCTGGAGGTGCCGCCGTCGCTCGGTGACACGCGCAGTGCGCTTGGCTGCTGCAAGCCCTGCAAGGAATTCGGAAGTTTTGTAGAATAACCAAACAATACAAGAGTGACAAGACTGTAATACCACCCCTATTAATGTTTGGGGTTCCTTAGAGAAAATTGATTCGTATGAACACATTCGCAGACACAGTGCAGTTTCTCACATTGTCTGCTACGGTCGCTCGCAACTGGGTTTGCATGTGGATGTAAGGCTCACCTGTGCGTCCCCGCTGGAGGTGCCACCGTCGCTGGGTGACACGCGCAGTGCGCTTGGCTGCTGCAAGCCCTGCAAGGAATTCGGAAGTTTTGTAGAATAACCAAACAATACAAGAGTGACAAGACTGTAAAACCACCCCTATTAATGTTTGGGGTTCCTTAGAGAATATTTATTTGTATGAACTCCCATTCACAGACACTTCTCACATTGTCTGCTACGGTCACTCGCAACTGGGTTTGCAAATGGATGTAAGGCTCACCTGTGCGTCTCCACAGGAGGTGCCGCCGTCGCTGGGTGACACACACAGTGCACTTGGCTGCTGCAAGCCCTGCAAGGAATTCGGAGGTTTTGTAGAATAACCAAACAATACAAGAGTGACAAGGCTGTAATACCACCCCTATTAATGTTTGGGGTTCCTTAGAGAATATTTATTCGTATGAATTCACATTCACAGACACTTCTCACAATGTCTGCTACGGTCACTCGCAACTGGGTTTGCAAATGGATGTAAGGCTCACCTGTGCGTCTCCGCTGGAGGTGCCGCCGTCGCTTGGTGACACACGCTGTGCACTTGGCTGCTGCAAGCCCTGCAAGGAATTCGGAAGTTTTGTAGAATAACCAAACAATACAAGCGTGACAAGACTGTAAAACCACCCCTAATAATATTTGGGGTTCTTTAGAGAATATTTATTCGTATGAAACCATTTGCAGACACAATGCAGTTTCTCACGTTGTCTGCTATGGTCACTCGCAACTGGGTTTCCAAATGGATGTAAGGCTCACCTGTGCATCTCCGCTGGAGGTGCCGCCGTCGCTTGGTGACACACGCAGTGCACTTGGCTGCTGCAAGCCCTGGAAGAAATTGGAAAGTTTGTTAGAATCCCCAAACAATACAAGAACGACGAAACTGTGAAACCACCCCTGTTAATCTTTGAGGCTCCTTAGAGCATGTTCATTCGTTTGAACACATTCACACACAGTGCAGTTTTTCACGTTGTCTGCTATGGTTGCTCGCAACTGGATTTCCAAATGGATGTAACGCTCACCTGTGCGTCTCTGCTGGAGGTGCCGCCGTCGCTCGGTGGCACATGCAGTGTGCTTGGCTGCTGCAAGCCCTGCAAGGAATTTGGAAGTTTTGTAGAATAACCAAACAATACAAGAGTGACAAGACTGTAAAACCACCCCTAGTAATATTTGGGGTTCTTTAGAGAATATTTATTCGTATGAAAACATTTGCAGACACAGTGCAGTTTCTCACGTTGTCTGCTATGGTCGCTTGCAACTGGATTTCCAGATGGATGTAACGCTCACCTGTGCGTCTCCGCTGGAGGTGCCGCCGTCGCTTGGTGACACACGCAGTGCACTTGGCTGCTGCAAGCCCTGCAAGGAATTGGGAAGTTTTGTAGAATAACCAAACAATACAAGAGTGACAAGACTGTAAAACCACCCCTAATAATATTTGGGGTTCTTTAGAGAATATTTATTCGTATGAAAACATTTGCAGACACAGTGCAGTTTCTCATGTTGTCTGCTATGGTCACTCGCAACTGGGTTTCCAAATGGATGTAAGGCTCACCTGTGCATCTCCGCTGGAGGTGCCGCCGTCGCTTGGTGACACACGCAGTGCACTTGGCTGCTGCAAGCCCTGGAAGAAATTAGAAAGTTTGTTAGAATCCCCAAACAATACAACAACGACGAAACTGTGAAACCACCCCTGTTAATCTTTGAGGCTCCTTAGAGCATGTTCATTCGTTTGAACACATTCACACACAGTGCAGTTTTTCACGTTGTCTGCTGTGGTCGCTCGCAACTGGATTTCCAAATGGATGTAACGCTCACCTGTGCGTCTCTGCTGGAGGTGCCGCCGTCGCTCGGTTGCACATGCAGTGTGCTTGGCTGCTGCAAGCCCTGCAAGGAATTTGGAAGTTTTGTAGAATAACCAAACAATACAAGAGTGACAAGACTGTAAAACCACCCCTAGTAATATTTGGGGTTCTTTAGAGAATATTTATTCGTATGAAAACATTTGCAGACACAGAGCAGTTTCTCACGTTGTCTGCTATGGTCGCTTGCAACTGGATTTCCAAATGGATGTAACGCTCACCTGTGCGTCTCCGCTGGAGGTGCCGCCGTCGCTTGGTGACACACGCAGTGCACTTGGCTGCTGCAAGCCCTGCAAGGAATTGGGAAGTTTTGTAGAATAACCAAACAATACAAGAGTGACAAGACTGTAAAACCACCCCTAATAATATTTGGGGTTCTTTAGAGAATATTTATTCGTATGAAAACATTTGCGGACACAGTGCAGTTTTTACGTTGTCTGCTATGGTCGCTCGCAACTGGGTTTCCAAATGGATGTAAGGCTCACCTGTGCATCTCCGCTGGAGGTGCCGCCATCGCTTGGTGACACATGCAGTGCACTTGGCTGCTGCAAGTCCTGGAAGAAATTGGAAAGTTTGTTAGAATCTCCAAACAATACAAGAACGACGAAACTGTGAAACCACCCCTGTTAATCTTTGAGGCTCCTTAGAGCATGTTCATTCGTTTGAACACATTCACACACAGTGCAGGTTTTCACGTTGTCTGCTATGGTCGCTCGCAACTGGGTTTCCAAATGGATGTAACGCTCACCTGTGCGTCTCCGCTGGAGGTGCCGCCGTCGCTCGGTGGCACATGCAGTGTGCTTGGCTGCTGCAAGCCCAGCAAGGAATTGGGAAGTTTGTTAGAATCCCTAAACAATACGCCTCGCAAGTGGGCTCATTTTCGTCTTTTGCGCATGAGAAAGCAAGTAGCGGTGACGTCAGAACGCCGAGCCATGATTGGCTGATCGCGACCCCCTATCTCAGTGTCGTCTGCTCTCAACATCGTCTGCGACTGTCTTACCTTTCCTGCGACTTTCTGAAGTGTAGGTCTTTATGAGCGAGCTCGACTTCGCCTTTCAGAGAGGACAGACGAAATAACTCGAGCGGTTTTTGTCTAACAACTAGCAGACGCACATCAAGGAGGGAAGTCAAAGGACTCACTGGCGAGGTGTTCCGAGGGGCCGAGGTTTGTTTGCGAAGAACCGAGTGTTCTTTGCTCGGTGCGTGTCCGTGAGCGTGTCCGCAAGTTCCCTCCCAAATACTTTTTCCCTTCTTTCGTGTGCGGCGAGACCCTTTATTCTTTAACGGCGTCGGCGGGTTGGCGCAGTTAACGTCGTCTGCTTTACGTCTGCTAGTGAAAGCGATGGCTTCTTTACCTTTCCTGCGTCTGTCGGAGATTCATCGCTTTTTCACCGGCGAGAGTCACCGTTGCCTCCGGAAACAAGGAGATAACAAGAGGAAGAAATAGACCTTTTAATGTAACATTGAGGTCAGCGATCAAAGTATAATACGGGAAGGGTTCACAAGGGTCACGCGGGCATATTCCATTCAGCACGCCAGCCGGTCGTGGGCAGACAATCGCGGAGTGCCTCCTAGGCCTAACTGCCCAGCTCGCTTGGTCGCGTTCGGTGGAATCGTGGCCGTTGGAGCTTTTCACAAGTGTTTGTGGATCCAGCGTTCTTGTTCGTCGTTGTCTGTGTGAAGTACTTTTTACTTTTTTTCTTGCTGCTTGAAGTCTGGACGCATGAGAAGCGCACGTAGAAAAATAAACGTCCGTGGGTCGTCGCGACCACGGTGCTGTCGGCCATGCTAATTTGATCATAAGAAGCGCTTAAGACAGCTTCGGAGCTGTCGTAGGACTTCGTCGTAACCTGCGCAAAACTTACGAAAATTTTGTTTCGTAAATATGAATTTGTTCTTAAGTTTTGTCTTACGCACATTTTTGGCGTAAGATCGTTTCGTGAACCTGGCCTCTGCACTTCCGAAAGTCGCAGGAAAGGTGAGACTGGCGCAGACGACGTTGCGAGCAGACGACGTTGCAAAGGAGCAGACAATGCTCAGATAGGGGGGTCACGATCAGCCAGTCAGGGCTCGGCGTTCTGACGTCACCGCTACCCCTGCGCAAGAAGCAGACGAACTTGCCCTTCGCATACAAGAGCGACGAAACTGTAAAAGCACCCCTGTTAATGTTTGGGGTTCCTTAGAGAATTCTTATTCATATGAACACATTCGCAGACACAGTGCAATTTCTCACGTTGTCTGTCGTGGTCACTCAGCAATGTCAACCTGCAGTTTGGGGTAATGCATGCACCCCCCTCACTTCTTGCATCAGACATGTTTTTTGAAGCACCACTATTTGTGGACGCTGTGGCAGCATTCTGAACTGCTATCGCGAGACGCTTTCGCACCACGGAAAAAGGTTTGTGCTTCGAACAGCAAGTCTAGCCAAACAGGGTGTGGGGGATAACCCTCTCCGCAGGAGTTCTGCAACGAAGTTGATCAAGTAATGTTGACAGTAGGTTGATTTGTGACACCGCCTATGGCCGAGGCTACCGGGCGCCCTGTGGCACTTCCAGCTAGCCTCATAGGTGTTTTCACGCCTCACTGGAGAGGCCGTAAGAGAGAGAGAGAGCGCACATTAAGTCCGGCCATAGTCATGCTGACTTGACAATCAGTCAACCTGCAGTTTGGTAATGGATGCGAGGCTCCCCTGTGAATCTGGAGTGTGTCCAATGGACATTCCCTCATTGCCGTCCGACGCAGGTATTGCACTTGGCTTTTTGCAGACATTCGGCAACAGGTTAGTCATCTGCTGATGCATTACTGGTTTACACAAGCTGATTATGCCATAATGACAATATTTGCATGCACACCAGTTATTCTGACCAATACACAACTAAATCAATTCATATACATGCCAGAAAGCAAACAGCACATTCGTCGTTATATGTGATATGAAAGAAAATTATACTATATTTTATTCTTAATGCACACACACCCGCACACATGTTTTCGAAGTTTGTTGCACGATTACAGAATACATAATATATAATTTATTTTGGCTCAGGAGAGCCGAGGTGCCGCAGAAAGGCAGGTGGCCCATATCATAATAAACATAGAGTTATTACAATAAACGCTAAAGGCTCAGCTGGCGCTAGTGTCTACAGGACTTCCGGTTGCAAATTGAAGCAGACAGTATGCAGTCTAAATTTACAGCCTCCCTGTGTATTCCTATGGGAAAACGCACGTTAATATTGTCTCTTCGCCGGAAAATAACATAAATAACTTTTGTCATTTTGGTTGTACCGGATAGCAGGCACGTAGCCGGGGGGGGGGGGGGGGGCATAGTGCCCGCCCGCCCCCCCCGCCCCCCCCCCCCCCCCCCGAAACAACATCCTGGCTACGTGCCTGCCGGATAGTATGTACATTTCGACAAAAACCCCGAGACTGGGACAAAAAGGGACGGACACGCACAAAGTCTCAATTTGAGACTGTGTTTGTCCGTCCCTTTTTGTCCCAGTCTCGGGGTTTTTGTCGAAATGTTTAACCACCGCCAGCTCGTTTGCGCCCTTATCTTTTGTTCACTAGTATGTACCTTTATTGGCATTCTGAAAGTGTAACTGCTTAGTGACAGCATTTTTCTTTACTACTGAACGATGTTAAACTTTGCTCTATTTCAGGCCCAAACCTCTGTTTCAAGGAAGGTATGTGAAAACGAGGGACGATTCTAAGCAAACTAATGGTCGAAAGGAATGTAGAGTGCGTTCAAGGTTTGCTAGCATTTCAATGGTACTTATATATTGCTAATATGCCCGTCCTGTCATTGGATGAAAATGACTCCGTCATGCATCTTTACGATCGTTTAAAAAAACATTTGAACGCAAAAAAAAAAGCATGTGAGCTACAAAAGGTGTGTCTTTATTATTTCCTAGGTCGGGCAGTTTTTATCGGGCACTTGCTCTCTGGCTCCCCCTATTTGCAAAGAATTGGAGCAGGCGGGTGATGATATTTGAGCCCAGAACGAGCATCTTCGCACATATTCACGAGCAGAAAGACAAAGCAGCACTTATTTATTGCATTTTGCGTTATTTGCGTTAACAGTCTCCGACAGTGCACATAAATACATGTACGAAGCGGTTTTAACACCGTTTTTCACGCCACGAATTTCAAATAAAAATGCTGTAACTGACCAATTATTTCATCTGCGTGACTGAGAAATGTTCCAATGAGTCTAGTACGTAGAAATTGTTCGTGATATTTGCTCTTATAATCGAGTGCAGAGAGAAAAAGCTCTCGCTTTTTTTTCATAAAAACGCATTACCAGAAGTCAAGTTCTGGCTGCTTGCTGTCTGCTTCAAAATGCAACAGCACACTAGCGCCACCTGAGCCTCTAGCGTTTATTGTAATAACTCTATGATAATAAAGTCCCTCGAACGAAAAAAATATCCAGGGACGTTGTATCTAGAGCACTATATAGCTCCTTCGGAGCAGACGGAGCAGAGTTACACTGTAGCAGAGTACCGCAGAGCTCTGGAGTAGCGCAATCTAGAACGCCGTCTCTCGGCGACTAGCGGCGAACGCCCGGGGGTTCCAACTCTGGCCACAAATGCATGGGGAACGGGAGTAAATCGCTGCTTCCTGATAATTTTGGCGATCTATGGAACGACAATAGTTTTTGACATAATAAGGGAATATTTTACAATAATTTGAGCTAAGTTGTGCGCCACGAATTAACTTTTTTCTTTTTTTTTTTTAATTGCCTGAGCAGCATCATGCAGCAGACGACGCGGCGACGTCCCACCATTCACGTGACCCGCTCCGGCCAATCCATAAAGTCCATCTCCGCTGCGTAAAACAATCGTCTGCTTCACACGCCATTGCTTTGAAAATTGCCTTCGCAAAATTTTCACACGCATCCAATATTATTAAAACTTTTAATAAAGTGTTTATTGTTTTACCAACATCACGACAGACTAGTTTTGAAAAGTGTGAACTCAGCGTTTATTTTTTAATCAGCCGTGTTGAGTCGATCTCCATGTATTCTCCCATAGGGCGGGCGCCTCTTGGAACCCTGAGTACCACGTGACTCGCGCCGCGCTGCTCTGTCGGCCTTGTTGTCGGCGAAACACGCGGATCAGAGGGTTGCGCTACTCTGCTCCGTAGGAGCTATATAGTGCTCTAGTTGTATCTAGAGCACTATATAGCTCCTACGGAGCAGTGTAGCGCAATCCTTTGAACCCTTTGAACCCCGTGTTTTGCCGACAACATGGCCGACAGAGCGGCTCGGCGCGAGTCACGTGGTACTCAGGGTTCCAGGAGGCGGCCCGCCCTACGGGAGAATACATGGAGATCGATACAACACGGCTGATTAAAAAATGAACGGCGAGTTCACACTTTTCAAAACTAGTCTGCCGTGAAGTTAGTAAAGCACTAAACACTTTATCAAAGTTTTAATAATATCGGATGCGTGTGCAAATTTTGAGAAGGCAATTTCCAAGGCAATGGCGTTTGAAGCAGACGATTTTTGCTGGCAGCGGAGATGGGCTTTTCGGGTTGGCCGGAGCGGGTCACGTGAATGGTGTGACGTCGCCGTGTCGTCTGCTGCAAGATGCCGCTCAAGCAATTTTTTAAAAAGGTCAGGTCTTTGCGGGGCACAAAACGTAGCGCAAATTATTCTAAAATGTTCCATTATTATGTCAAAAACAATTGCCACTTCGTACATCCCCACAATACTAAAAAAAACAGCGATTGTATCACGTTCTCCATGCATTTCTGACCGCAGTTGGAACCTCCGGGCGTTCGCCGCTAGTCGCCGAGAGACGGCGTTCTAGATTGCGCTACTCTGCTCCGAAGGAGCTATATAGTGCTCTAGTTGTATCATAAAAGCTGCGGCGCCCATCAAGCTCGTTGGCGGCGCCGCGTCTAATAATAATAATAAGAAGAAAATACGATATATATATAGTATATATATATATATATATTTTTTTTTTTTTTATAGGAGAGTTGTGAACTTGTAATTACCTGAGCAGCGCAGTTGGGGTGGTTATTTCTTGTGCGAGAAGCTTCAGATCTTCTCCTTCTGGCCGTTCTCGGTGGTAGCGGCACATCTTCTTCGAGGTAGCGCTTGTATTTGGAAGGCATCGGCGTCTGCCGCTAAAAGCGCGCGTCCGTTGCGAAATGCGTTCGTTGTTCGTTGAACGCGTGATTCACTTGCATTGCGAATTGTGATCGCAGAGGACAAGTGCGCATTTGATGCACGGAAAAGAGCAACGCGTTATGATTGGCAGTCCGTTTTGCGTTTAGTCACAGGGCACGATCTAACGACGCGTTTTCAAAGACGAAGAAGCACCGATGCTCTGTGGAGCTTGCTACTAAGACGGGTGACGGGACAACACATCTGTCAACTTTCATCAAACAAATGATTTATTGCCGGACGCTTCGCCTTCGGAACTCCACTATAGGAGAGAGAAATTTAAAAGGAGGGAGAAGGCGAAGGGGGGGGGGGGGGGGCAGGACAAGGCTCCGGGGGAAAAACTGGGGGAAAGGAAACCGCTCCCGTTCCCACGCGCTTATACTCGGCAGCCGTAGAAACTGCATCAGGGGCGTCCTTGGGCCAAGTTGGCGACAAACAGCCAGAACATAACACCGCCGCGCACGAAAGCAGGCTTGGTCGGGTATTGACCTAATCCGGTAATGCACGCGGGCGCCGCGCCTCCAGGTGCAACCGTGAAAGACGGAGACACTCCAAGGGTTGTTGTTTTCATGTCGTCTGCCTTTAGTGAGTTCTGCCTCAAGCTAGCTGATTGTTCCACGGGAAGCTCTACCGGAATGACCTCGTAGCTGGGCGCCTGTTCCCATTGTCGCCTCGTCGTCAGCGCATAGCCTTTGCAAAGCCGGACTACCCCGGGCACAAACCCAGGCGCGGATAATCCGCTTCCAGCTGCAATTGTACGAGCGACGATACTTGTTCACGTAACCTGTCGCGTCCTTCTGACCTTCCACGCCACAGAGACCTCCTGTTTGTTGAAAACGATTTGCTTGTCAGGCGTGTCAGGCGCCGGCGAGGATTGCGAGTTACCCTTGGTAGATCCTTTTGTTGGACCAGGCGTCAGCGGCGAATTATACTTCGTTTCATCTTCCATTAAGCCAATATATATATATATATATATATATATATATATATATATATATATATATATATATATATATATATATATATATTTTTTTTTTTTTCTTTTCAGTAGCGTAGCACTAGCACTGCAACGTGACACGCAGTCGTCCGGATGATCTCATCGTCGTGGCTGAGGCTTGAACCCTTGACTTTCAGTGTCCGGTGCACTCACTCAGCGTACTCTCCGAACGTCGCGGGAATAAAGAGGGGCCAGTCATAACAAGCTCAACTTGCCAAAGAAAAAAAAAAAAAAAAAAGAGGAGAGTTTGTTATAAACGACCGTCTAGGCCGAAGCAAACCACACATGTTTCGTCATGAACACCTTAGATGCTGACACTCGCTTATTCGACCCTGCACAGACTGTTTCTGAAATTCAACGCTGCCGTTCCATCCAGCGCGTCGGTGGAACGTCTTTTTAGCTTGGCTTGGGACGTCTTTAGGAGGAAAAGGGGAAAACTCTCCTATCAAGAACTTTGAGAGTCAATTGCTTCTGCGAGCGAATAAACTATTTTGGTGAACACGCAAGCCATAAAATGACTGCATTTATTTTAGGCTCGCAGGGTTTTTCACGGATCAAAACTGCTTTTTAATTTGCTACCACAAAAATATAAAAAAGTAACTTCGAAAGTAACTTCAAAGTAACTCGCTACTTTTTACAGTAGTTTGTAGTTTACTCAATTACTATTACAAATGCGTAATTTTTACTCTACTCCAATTACTTTTGGCGTCGATACTCAGTAACTTAACTTAATTACCTTTTTTTGAGTAATTTGTACATATCTGGTTGGCAGGACTTTGTGCGGGTGGAGGAGATGAGACTTTTTGCGATGCCTGCTTTTAGTGTCTTTGAGTATAGTGACTTGAAAACGGCAGCACCGGCTTCTGTGACCGCTGCTGGAAGCGCCAGCAAGTGCCTCCCTGGGTGGCTACGAGGCGTACATCCAGGAACTGGAGACCCTCCGACGAGGGGTCCTCCCCGGCGAAGCTCAGGCCGTTTGCGTTGTCTGTGAAGGCCTTCTGGATGGTGGCGGTGGGCACGCCAGAGTCGTGGAGCACCAGATAATCGTCCACATATCTGTACACCTGGGTTTCTGGGGCGACGCTGTCCAGTTGCTCCTTGACGGCCTGATCCACGAAGGACAGGTAGACCTCGCTAAGCGCAGGTGCCAGGCAGGACCCGATGCAGACGCCCGATTTTTGTAGGTATATCTTTCCGTCATGCTCCACCATGGTCGATCGAAGGTATACTCTGAATAATTGCAAGAACGCGCTGAGGGTGATGCCGGAAGGATTTTGGAATTTGGCGATGCCCTGTGGAGTGAGGGCTTTTTCTACCGCAACCAGGAGAATGTTGAAGTCGAGGCTGTAGTACATGTCGGTGATGTCTAGGGAGAAGAATGTGGTACCTGGGCCTGATGTGTGAAGAAGCTGGAGAGCTGGGAGGAGTTCCTCAGAGCTGCCTACGCGGAAAGGCTGGTCCAGAGGGACGGCTGCGAGGTGCTTCTGCAGGTAGAGAGCCAGAGGCTTCTGCCAGCATCGATTTTCTGATATGATGCTCCTCAGCGGGATCTCCGGCTCAGGGATTTCCCTAGACCCCCCCCTCGTAAGACGACCCCACCCCCCTAGTTTTTTCTGGACACCCCCCCTTGAATCTAAAAATAAAAAAATAAAATAAAAATTTTTTTTTTTTCAGATTTACGGGTATGAGCATTTGGTTAATAGACGTCTGTAATTTAGCTAGTGGACTAAAAAAGAAACAGTTTTATATTTTATCTAGCCTCGCCTCGCATCGCCTCCCCCCCCCCCCCCCCCCCCCCCCCCCCCCGAGCCACTGGGGAAACCCCTGCTCCGGCTTGTGTGTCTTGGCGGTGAAAAACACTTTTAGGTACTGGTTTGCAGGGGCCGACACTCTCGTGAGAAGCGACGAAAGGTTGTTCGACCTGCAGATGTCTTTGACTTCCGATCGGAGTGTGCCGGACGGCCTTTTCTTAACGAGGACGAAGTTTTTCTTGATGACGAGTTCAACCCTCTCACCGAAGTTAGACTCGTTCATGACCACAAACACTCCTGTATTGCCTGCCTCCAAAAGCTTCAGGTCAGACCCCCTGAACTCATTCACCACTTGTGGAAAATCTGGTTTGGTTGGGTGGTTTGCTCCATGCATGCACACCAAACGGGAACCAACACCGAGGAACTCTTGTCGGGCAGGCTCCAGAATTCTTGACGCGATCTGGTGTACCGCTGCGAGCTGATCCACTCTTGACGGTGTGACAGAAGGAGCAAATTTGGGTCCCTTTGAGAGCAGTGCCTCGGCTTGCGGTAAAAGGTTCGAGCCCGAGAGATTTAGCGGTGGCTGAAGCTTGGGCCACTGGTTCGCTCGTTTTTCTGTGGAAGCAGTTGCAATTACGACCTTCCAAGATGAATCAAGAAGGTCTTGCCCGGACTTGGTTAGAAATATGTACGAAGGGTGAACTGTAAAGCGGGCACCGAAGATGCCCGTCATGAGACCGGGAAGTAATTTCTGCATGACAAGAATTTCCTGCGAGAGCTCAATGCGTGCTATCTGCATGACTCTGTAGTTGGCAGTCCAGCTGGCAGAGTTGAATCCTAATACGTGGTGGACGGCGGGATGAGGGATGGTCTTCCTGAGGTAGAGTACAAAGGATCGCAGGCGCAGGCGGAGGAGATACAGTCTCAAGATGAAGATGGCGGCACGGAGAAGGGGCCTGGCTGGAAACCCGAAGGTCCGATGCGTGGCGGTTGTGGACGTGACAAACACATAGATTTACACAAGCCCCCTGCCCCCCTTCTCCCAAGACACCCCCAAAGTGTGCCCCCCCCCCCCCCCCTAAAAATTTGGGCCACCCCAGGTTTAAAATTCCTGATAAACCCCTGTCCGGAAGTGAGAAAGCTGTGTGTATGCATAAGGCGTGTATTTGGTGCGCACCTCGGAGGGTTCTGCCGGTTGGGCACTATCAACACCATCATAGGCGTAGACTTCGGCGGGAAAGGGGGGGGGGGGGGGGCAGAGCCCTCCCCCACCTCCCCCCTTGGGCCCGGGCTATGATCCTTACCAATCGATGTCTACGTGCCATGTAATGAGCTTCTATAGTAGCGGCATGTAAACAAAATAACGCCCACGTTGCCTTTATTGACAAAATACATGGGAAATGGAATCCCAGTGTGCTCGAACAAAGGGTAAACACAAAGGGTAAACACAAATCTCGAGAAGGAGAACAAGGGGGACAAAGGGTAAACACAAATCTCGAGAAGGAGAACAAGAGGGACAAAGGATAAACACAAATCTCTAAACATAGCTAGGTGGCTAGGTGACTGGACTGGTGCGTGACCGAAAAAATCCGCCTGATCCGGGTATCTAACCCGGACCAGGCGGATTTTTTCGGTTGCGCACTCGCTTGCAAATTTGCATTGAATTGCATTATAATCAACACCATGCTGTTTTTCCACCCAATTTGTTAGTGCTTGCCTAAGTCAAATATAAGTCGTTCAAACAAAACAGACATCTACCAGCAGGCATAAAAAACAGTTGCTCCACACATTATTTTTACCTTTGCTCTTGTTTCGGTTTAAAAGTAACGTCCAGAATCCACATCCAAATCCGAAGTCACTTCTAATCCCTTTGTTTGGTTCTTTTGGTTCGGTGGTTGGCGCCTTGTTGGCCTTGTCTGTACTGTACTGTGCTGTGCTTATACGTCTTGATGGATACGCTTGCACTTTATAGTTTCGATGACGGCTCTCTTAGCGTTGCAACTGTCAAATTCATACGGGATTATAATCCTGTATGCCACAACGCCAAAGTGTGGCCGCGATACAAGGACGCCACTCAAAAAAAAAACTGGGTTAAAGTGAATTGGCCCAACCAGGACAAGTCTGGTAACTCAACAGGGGGTACAAGCGTCCACGCCGCTCAGGTCGTCCGTTTCGGAGGTACGTTTCTTACGTCTTATA